TCTAGGCAAATTGGGATAACGATAGAAGTGGTCATATTCTCGGAAACCGAAATTATTCTTTTCTGAAAATCGAATTTCCATTCTATCTCGCAAATTTTTTTTGAAAACCGAAATCTTGCGGAGCCTACCAACACTTCGTGAAGCATATTCGGAGATTGCCATATTCTCAGAAACGGGATTTTGTTCTTTTCTGAATATCGCATCTTTACTCCATTTCGCAAAAAAAATAAAAATTTTCAAGAGCCGAAACTTTGCGGAACCTAGCCTAGATCTCGTTCATAGTACTCTTCTGACATGTCTCACTCATAATAGATCGACAGATATACAAAAAAAAAAAGAAAGGAAGTAGTCCTCTTTTATTTTTTTATTTTTTATCTGTTGATTAGGGCCGGAGGAAAGTATTGTTGGGTTGGTTTCCTACCTGCGTGTTCCCTCCCACCCACCCTTTGCATGCATTTTCGGGTTGGTACAGTGACACGTCAGACACAGTGCCACGTAAGCAGTGCCAAGTCAGCAGTGCCACGTCAGACAGTGCCACATGAGCAATGCCGCGTAAGCAGTGCCACGTCAGCAACATGACGGGCCTGCCAGGCCAATTGGCCAATGAGCCCATTGCCGACTACAAAAAGCGCTTCCAGGCTCAGCTCGCTGCAATCGAGGCTGAGGAACAACGCCGGCTGGCAGTCAAGGCTGCCCAGCTACAGGCTGAAGAAGAGGCAACAGCAGAGAAGCTGCGGCTACAGGCCGAAGCAGACGCAGATGCCCAGGCTCGCCGCAAGGAAGCCCAGGATCTGCTGCAGCGGCGTGAAGCCAGCAACATCGACAGACTCAAGTTCTGGCACTTTGAACCGAACGGCGACGAACCAACACCGGAAGAGAAGCATAAGGAGTTCATGGCCAAGCTCGTGACCAGGTTGGTTTATACTTGTAACCACCTACAGTCCGAGCTGGCGAACCTCCAGCGGGCTGTGCGGAACCATAAGACTCAGCACGAGGATGCCACACGGGCACTGGATGCCCGTGTACTGGACCTGAAACAGGCTGTCCCAGGACCAGATGCTGGGGCTTCCAGCAGTGCATCCTCTAGCCGCCAACTGGAGGAACGCGTTGCCCACGTAGTGGCAATGCTAGGAGACATAAGTGCCTTCACAGAGCCGGCCACCATCAGCCAGAGGTTCGAGTTGCTGGACACTAAGATCAGTCAGCAACAGCCGACCGACCACAACCACAACAACAGCTCGGCAAGGCCATACAAGATGCCGACGTTCCGGATCGAGAAATTTGATGACTACACACATCAAGACCCGGTCGTCTGGTGGCAAGGATTTACAACGGAGTTGGGGATCCACGAGGTCCCTGACTGTTACGGACTTCGCCAGGGCTCGATCCCTGGTCTATCTTTTGCTGTTTCGGCTGCATCCCGTTTTCGGCCTGGCACCCTTTTTCCAAACCCCTCCTTTGGTAC